TTTTCTGCTCCCCCTGGATGGTGAGGCCTTCCATAGGGTGTCATCAGTGTCTATTGTATCCTTTAGGATAGGGCCTAGGCCCACCCCCGTGTGTCTTGGCTCAGGGAGTATTCCTCTTTATGGAATGGGCTCCCAAAGTCCACACCTATGCTAGGGATAAATACTGGGCTTCTACAGGAGTTCCCATAGATTTCTGAGGTTTCCTCACAGAAACCCATGTTCTTGGGGTCTGGATCAGTCCCATGCTGGTATTCCAGCTATCAGACTGGGGAGCAAGTGTTCCTGGATGTTCAGGTCAGCTGTTTCTGTGGGTTTCACCAGCCTGGTCTGGACCTCTGTACTCTTCACTGGTCCTTCTCTGCATCTGGGTTCCAGTTCAGTTCGGTGATTAGTTATGGGTGTCTGCTTCTACTTCCACCAGCTGCTGGATGAAGGCTATAGGATGGCATATAAGTCAGTCATCAATCTCATAATCAGGGGAGGGCATTTAAGGTAGCCTCTCCTCCGTTGCTGAGATAGTTAGCTGGCAGACACCTGACTTTTGACAACGAATTCATAAGGTGTCTAGTTAAGGCACTGTCCTCTGCCCCCTTATATGGTGACTCAATAGTTCACACTGTATACATTTGAGGAAGCTTCTGCAGTAGTAGGTTTCCATAGGGCTTCCCCAAAGGCCTTTAAGGTTAGTTATCACTTCCCATACCTTAACCCCACTTTCTCATTATCCCCCCACTTTACCTTCAACTATAGCTTCCACTCTTTTATTTATAGCACTATACTCTATTTTCCCTTCCTTGGAAGTTTCCTTCCTCCCTCAGGTAACCTGGCCTCTGTGGATATGAAACAAACATATCTAAAGCTTAAAAGCTAGCGTCCTCATTTAAGAGAAAACAGGCAATGCTTGTATTTTTGGGTCTGGGTTACCTCATTCGGGATGATTGTTTCTAGCTCGTTCTATTTACTTGTATATTTTATAATTTCATGTCTATTAACAACTGAATAATGTGTAAATTCACCATATTTTCACTATTCATTTATCAGTCAATGGACGTCTAGGCTCTTCTCAATATATGGCTATTATATATAGACAAGAATTGAACATGCATGGACAAGTATCTCTAAAGAAAGGTATGGAGTCCTTTGGTTATGTGTTCAAACTTGACCTTAAGGTAGATTTATTCCAGCTTCCTGAGGAGCATAGTGACTGTACAAGTTTGCACTCCCACCCAGGAAGGCTGCTGAGTTTTGCATCCCACTGCTTTTTTGATAGTGTTTATTGGCTGCAGCAGTCTCCTGCTAGAGACTTTCACGTCTTTTATCTATCAAATCATACCACCTACAAATATGGATGGTTTGAATTCTTCCTTTCTTATTTTTATGCCCCTCATCTCCTCAGTGTGTTATCGCTCTAGGTAAGACTTCAAGAACCATTTTGGATATATTACATAGGTAGGTAGAATGGACATATTTGTTTCAGATTTTAGTGAAAATGCTTTGAATGTCTGTTCATTTATGATGATATTGGCTGTGGGCTTGCCTTTATTATGTTGAGGTATGTCCCTTTCCTCCTAGTCTTCCCTGGCTTTTCATCATGATGGAATGGTGGATTTTGCCAAAGGCTTTTTTTGCATCTAATGAGTTGATCATGTGGTTTTTGTCTTTTAGTCTGCTTATGTGATTGATTGCAGTTATTGATTTATGTATCTCAGTTATCCTTGAATCTCCAGGATAAAGCTAACTTGATCATGGTGGATGATCTTTTTGATGTATTCTTAATTTTGATTTGCAAGTATTTTATTTAGACTTTTGTAGAAAAGTATTGGTTTTTATAATTTTCTTCCTCCCTCCCTCCCTCCCTCCCTCCCTCCCTCCCTCCCTCCATCCCTCTCTCCCTCCTTCTCTCCCTCCCTCCTTCCCTGCTTACCTGCTTTCTGTCTACACCCCTTATTGATAAATCTCACTGTGTATCCCTGGTTTCCCTGGAACTAGCTATGTAGACCAAGCTGGTCTCAAACTCATAGATAGCCACCTGCCTCTGCCTCATGAGTTCTGTGATTAAAGGCTGAAAAGGAACACAACTGTACACAGAGATATGGTTATTGATGGCACATTATAAATGATAACAATGAGAACAACTCACACATGTAGCTGATAACCAGATTGGCCCTCCGAGAAGCTCAGCCTCAGATGCGTCTGAGACCTGGCCTGAACCCCAAGAGAGGAGGAGTGCCTCCTCTCCTCCCTCTTTATCCTACCCCTCTGTGTACCTGTGTCCATGCCCAAACCGGTATGGTTAGTGGTACAGGTATCCAGGGTCTCTCCCTACAGGCTTGCATCATGATGCCTGGTTATACTTACCTCTTCAAAGATGCCACTTGCATCGATGTGCCATGTGCTTTAATATACACCCCAAACATGTGTCTCCCCGTACCAACCAATAAGCTTCACACTGTGTATCTTAACTTAAATTCCAGAGACACCTTAAATTCCAGAGACACCTGCAATTATGTCAAACACCAAAACGATTTATTTTATACATAACGTCATATTATCAGGTGACTCCTTCTAAGGGTCACCTTTAAGGGTGTCTGTTCTTTGTCCTTCTCATGTACTTCAAATTTCAAAAGAAGTCGGATTTGTGCACATTTCCTGATGGAAATCTGGCACTATGGCTTTCCTTTTGGACTGCTGTGGTGACCTTCAGCTGGTCTCTCTGGGTTCCACTCTACTGTGCAACAATTGGTGTGATCTCTTGAGAGCTGAACCAGATGCTGCACCTCTGTGAGGAAAAGAAGTTAACACAAATGTGAATGTCTCAATGTCTGTATGTGTTTCCTGTGTTTCTTCTTTGGTTCTTTTTTCCCCTATTTGTTTGGCTCTTGTTTTTATTATCAATTTTTTTTTTAGACAGCTACTTGTTTTCTAACAAGAGAGAGAAAGGAAGGGTGTGGGTTTGGGTAGGCAGGAAAGTGGGGGGGAGTTCTTGCAGGACTGGGGGAGGGAAACTAATCAGATACATTGTCTGAAGCAAAATTCACTTTCAATAAAACCAAACAAACACTAATGGAAGCCAGCAATCCCGTTTCCTCATCTAGTAGTATTAAAATAGTATTTTTTCCCGCCAGGTAAACTAGTTGTATGTGATTTGTTCTTTGGTTATCTTCTAAGTCATCCTGTTTTCCATCCTGCCTATTGCCCAACTACTCATTTGCAGCTCTGCAATGGCTCCTTATATGCCTAGACTGGGTTTTGTACCATGATGGGGTGTGTAGCTGTGGGTAGTACCTGGATGCATCTTGGTTTTCTTTTCAATATTGTAGAAATAATAATGGCATATTTCCAGCACTTTGAACAGTGCTGGTGAACATAAATAGTCAGCAACTGGTCTTGGGTGTCAATGTTCACCCTGACATACAGATGCAAAGGTAGATCTACATTAGCCGACTTATTATAAAATGTTGGTGTACATGGTTGTGAGGCTGGGCTGACAAATGTGAAACCTGAGACATAGCTGTCAGAAAAGACAAGTGAGAACTTACATATGTCTATAGCTGCCGTGTACAGAAGGAAGTTCTTTGGGAAAAACATCAGTTAGACTCTTAAGACCTTTCAAGGGATGGGATCACTTTCTTCATTTTCCAGCAAATTATGTGGATATTGTTTATTACATCCACTTGAATGATTATTATCATTAATCATATCTATAAATAGTTGTTTAGCAATGCCTAAATTAGTGTTTGACTGAAATAACTTGGGATTCCACTTTACCAAGATCTACAAAGAAAAACAATTGCAGGGGGTGAGCACTTGCTGGTTCCTGTCTCTGGGAATGACCCATGTACCAGAACTTCCAAAGATAATTTCTCTCTACCCTTGAATTCTCAGTTTGATGTAGATTACCAAGCTTCCCCAAGAATATACAAATGTATCAATAATTCTGCCTTTCAACCTTTGGACATTCTATTCATAAAACTTCTGCTATTCTGCTTTGTTTCTTCTATTACTAGAAAGGGTTAAGAAGCCAGATACTATAATATTCCTTAATTTATGTACCCAACATGAGAACTAAGATATTGTACTTCCTGAATATATATATATATATATATATATATATATATACACATATATATATGTATATATATTAAATGAGTTATAGAAACATGTGAAAATAAGAGTTATTATGGTTGTGTATAAGCACAGCTTAGGAGACACATGGAAATGCACACTTAAATGTGAGGCAGGAGAGATGGTGGCTCAACCCTTAAGAAAGTGTGCAGTCTTTGCAGGGCTTCCTTAGCACCCACAATGACATGTAAATCTAATTCCAGGGACTCTGGTGCCCTCTTCTTGTCTCTGAGGGCACACTCATGCAATATTTTTAAGAATAAACCTTAAAAATATTGGAGTGTTTTGTAGATGTAGTCCATTGGGACTGGGCTCCAAAACCCTGCATTCTGATTGGTTGTGTGTGTGTGTGTGTGTTTGTAGTGGTCTCTGTCTTTTGCAGGAGAAGTTTCCTTGATGAGGCATGAGGGCTACACTTCTGTTGGTATAAGGGTGAATAAGGATTGTTTTTAGGCATAGACTGGTTTAGTAAATTAGTGGTTGTACATTTTCCATGTAGATAACCATATCATTAACATGTAGTAGTTAGGGAGGGTTCGAGTACCAGGCATGATTTCCCTTTTGAGTGTGTCTTAAATCCAATTAGAGAGCTGTTGGTCACCACAAAGATATGTGTGCCACTATGTTCCCATTAGTTGTTTCCTTCCTTTGGAAGCTTGTAATAGTGCCTTTTAATACCACAAAAGCTGCTCCTTAGGGAGGGGGCACTGAGGTAAGTTCCAGGGTTCTCAAGGCCTTGTGTCTGCAATGCATGGTGTCTTCAGTTCTAAGAACTTACCTCCCATTTCTGGGTGGTGGGTAACCAAGGGCAGCATCAATAGGCTGTATGGTTTGCAAAGTCTCTTAGATATTCCTGAACAACTTAAAGGAGAGCTTTTCATGTCTAGTATAGGGGTTAGGTGGTCTTTGGATCAGAAGAGATGAGAAAAATTCATTAAAAATATATGTGTATTTATACAATGAACTACATGCATTATGAGTTATTTTAGTAAATTATAGTATGGTTCCTTGTGGCTTTTTCAGATGTCCATATTGTTATTTTACCCCCCTCACTCATTCTCCTGTATTCTTCTTGGAGTAGGTGAGATGGTTCTCCCAAGGGAAGAGAAAATCAATTGGTTGTCCAAAGCAGTCAGCCCTGAAACATACGAATAAGTAATGTTATAGGGACTCAACAGGTTATATTTAGAAATACACATGTATATACATATCCCACATATGTATATAAAAGAAAATGGGGAGAGGTTTATGGGAGATATTGGAGGAAGGAAAGGGAAGGAAGAAAATAATTAAATTATAATCTTAAAAGTACAAACAAAATTAGCTTTGGAATGAAACAAAAATAATGCAAATCAAACCAACCAAACAAACAAGAGTATGGGTTTCATCTTGTTTTTCATTGATTTGAATTTTATGTTTTCTACAATGGCTATAGAATTTTTTAGAAATATAATACTGTAAAAGTACTGACAGTAGCAAGCACTATTCAGGAGAGACCATTCCTCTTTATTTATGCTATAGCCATTAAATGATTCAAGGGAGATTTTGGTTATGAATTTCATTAACTGCAAGCTTTTATGGATAAAGAAACACAAAGAAAAATGAGTGGATGATTATGATATTTAGAGCCATTTATATGTAACATTTAGCAGGTGGCAGTGCGTTATTTTTTTCAAGGTAAAATTTGCAATGGAGAATTTCTTTTAAGATTATAATACAGTTATATAACTTTCTTTTTCCCTTTCTTCACTCCAAACTCTCTCATATATCCCTTTTTGTTTTCTGTCAAATTCATGGTCTCTTTTTAATTAATTGTTGTTGCACAAATGTCTGTATGTGTACACATATATAATTGTTTGGTCTCCATCTGTTACAGAGATGGTTCCTTGATAAAGGGTAAGACCTATACTTATTTTGGGTACAAGGCAGATATCTTGACTGTAGTTAGGGATTATGTTGGATTAGCAAAGTGGTTGCTATGTGTTCCCCTCCAAGATCCATGACTACAATAGGCCCAATTATTGACTTGGCTTCCCATACCAAGCATGATTTCTCTTGAATCCAATTAGAGAGCTGTTGGTTACTAGCAAGGCATGAAACCTCAAGGTTCAGGGACGTTCTTGTCAAGAGTCCACTTAGGGATTTGGATGCAGTTCAGTAGTAGAATGCTTGCTTATGCATAGGCGTGGGTTTGACTCCCAGGAACTGCTAGAAAATAATTTGTAAAAACAGTAGTGTGAAAACTTGCTTTACATGACAATCCCAGTTCCCTTCTCCCTTCTGTTGTCCCCTACCACCCCATTCTGTTTCTAATTCAAATAAAAAAATAAAAAAAGATGATGAAGTTAATAAACCATTACATTATAGTCTGAGAAGTCTGCTATATGAATGAATACCATGCAGAGAAAATGAAACACCTACAGTCTACATTAACCAATAAGAAAGCCCATTTCTTCTCCATGACAAACCCAAGTATACATAGAACTAACGGTAAGGCCACTGTTGAACAAATTACTAAATTTTACATCATCTGCTATACCACCAGACCTCTTACCAGCTGACTCCCACTTATTCAAACAGGCTGGACCTGATAACATTTTTTAAAGGAAAATGCTTCCATAACACACACACACACACACACACACACACACACACACACACA